GGATGTCAGGGACAAGATTGTAGACCTACACAAGGCTGGAATGGGCTACAAGACCATCGCCAAGCAGCTTGGTGAGAAGGTGACAACAGTTGGTGCGATTATTCGCAAATGGAAGAAACACAAAATAACTGTCAATCTCCCTCGGCCTGGGGCTCCATGCAAGATCTCACCTCGTGGAGTTGCAATGATCATGAGAACGGTGAGGATTCAGCCCAGAACTACACGGGAGGATCTTGTCAATGATCTCAACGCAGCTGGGACCATAGTCACCAAGAAAACAATTGTTAACACACTATGCCGTGAAGGACTGAAATCCTGCAGCGCCCGCAAGGTCCCCCTGCTCAAGAAAGCACATATACAGGCCCGTCTGAAGTTTGCCAATGAACATCTGAATGATTCAGAGGAGAACTGGGTGAAAGTGTTGTGGTCAGATGAGACCAAAATCGAGCTCTTTGGCATCAACTCAACTCGCCGTGTTTGGAGGAGGAGGAATGCTGCCTATGACCCCAAGAACACCATCCCCACCGTCAAACATGGAGGTGGAAACATTATGCTTTGGGGGTGTTTTTCTGCTAAGGGGACAGGACAACTTCACCGCATCAAAGGGACGATGGACGGGGCCATGTACCGTCAAATCTTGGGTGAGAACCTCCTTCCCTCAGCCAGGGCATTGAAAATGGGTCGTGGATGGGTATTCCAGCACGACAATGACCCAAAACACACTGCCAAGGCAACAAAGGAGTGGCTCAAGAAGAAGCACATTAAGGTCCTGGAGTGGCCTAGCCAGTCTCTAGACCTTAATCCCATAGAAAATCTGTGGAGGGAGCTGAAGGTTCGAGTTGCCAAACGTCAGGTTCGAAACCTTAATGACTTGGAGAAGATCTGCAAAGAGGAGTGGGACAAAATCTCTCCTGAGATGTGTGCAAACCTGGTGGCCAACTACAAGAAATGTCTGACCGCTGTGATTGCCAACAAGGGTTTTGCCACCAAGTACTAAGTCATGTTTTGCAGAGGGGTCAAATACTTATTTCCCTAATTAAAATGCAAATCAATTTATAACATTTTTGACATGCGTTTTTCTGTTTTTTGTTGTTGTTATTCTCTCTCACTGTTCAAATAAACATACCATTAAAATTATAGACTGATCATGTCTTTGTCAGTGGGCAAACGTACAAAATCAGCAGGGGATGAAATACTTTTTTCCCTCACTGTATGTACACTACCGTTCAAAAGTTTGGGGTCGCTTAGAAATGTCCTTGTTTTCGAAAGAAATGCATTTATTTTGTCCATTAAAATAACATCAAATTGATCAGAAATACAGTGTAGACATTGTTAATGTTGTAAATGCTATTGTAGCTGGAAACGGCATTTTTTTTTTTAATGGAATATCTACGTAGGCATACAGAGGCCCATTATCAGCAACCATCAGTCCTGTGTTCCAATGGCACGCTGTGTTTGCTAATCCAAGTTTATAATTTAAAAAGGCTAACTGATCATTAGAAAACCATTTTGCAATTATGTTAGCACAGCTGAAAACTGTTGTGCTGATTTAAAGAAGCAATAAAACGGGCCTTCTTGAGACTAGTTGAGTATCTGGAGCATCAGCAATTGTGGGTTCGATTACAGGATCAAAATAGCCAGAAACAAATAACTTTCTTCTGAAACTCGCCAGTCTATTCTTGTCCTGAGAAATGAAGGCTATTCCATGCGAGAAATTGCCAAGAAACTGAAGATCTCGTACAACGCTGTGTACTACTCACTTCACAGAACAGCGCAAACTGGCTCTAACCAGAATAGAAAGAGGAGTGGGAGGCCCAGGTGCACAACTGAGCAAGAGGACAAATACATTAGTGTCTAGTTTGAGAAACAGACGCCTCGCAGGTCCTCAACTGGCAGCTTCATTAAATAGTACCCGCAAAACACCAGTCTCAACGTCAACAGTGAAGAGGCAACTCCGGAATGCTGACCTAGACAGAGTTGCAAAGAAAAAGCCATATCACAGACTGGCCAATAAAAATAAAAGATTAAGATGGGCAAAAGAACACAGATACTGGACAGAGGAAGATTGGAAAAAAGTGTTATGGACAGACGAATCAAATTTGAGGTTTTCGGATCACAAAGAATAACATTTGTGAGACGCAGACCAAATGAAAAGATGCTGGAGGAGTGCTTGATGCCATCTGTCAAGCATGGTGGAGGCAGTGTGATGGTCTGGCGGTGCTTTGGTGGTGGTAAAGTGGGAGATTTGTACAGTGTAAAAGGGATCTTGAAGAAGGAAGGCTATCACTCCATTTTGCAACGCCATGCCATACCCTGTGGATGGCGCTTGATTGGAGCCAATTTCCTCCTACAACAGCACAATGACCCAAAGCACAGCTCCAAACTATGCAATAACTATTTAGGGAAGAAGCAGTCAGCTGGTATTCTGTCTATAATGGAGTGGCCAGCACAGTCACCAGATCTCAACCCTATTGAGCTGTTGTGGGAGTAGCTTGACCGTATGGTACGTAAGAAGTGCCCATCAAGCCAATCCAACTTGTGGGAGGTGCTTCAGGATGCATGGGGTGAAATCTCTTCAGATTACCTCAACAAATTGACAACTAGAATGCCAAAGGTTTGCAAGGCTGTAATTGCTGCAAATGGAGGATTCTTTGACGAAAGCAAAGTTTGAAGGACACAATTATTATTTCTATTAAAAATCATTATTTCTAACCTTGTCAATGACTACATTTCCTATGCATTTTGCTATATTTCCTATTCAAACTCATTTCATGTATGTTTTCATGGAAAACAAGGACATTTCTAAGTGACCCCAAACTTTGGAACGGTAGTGTGTGTGTTTTCATTGTAATATAACTCTGTGTATATATACAGTGCCTTCAGAAAGTATTCATATGCCTTGACTTATTCCACATTTTGTTGTAACAGCCTGAATTCAAAATGGATTGAACCCAGCTACACACAATACCCCATAATGATGAAGTGAAAACATGTTTTTACACATTTTTGAAAATGTTTTGAAAATGAAATACAGAAAAAAACTATTTACATAAGTATTTACACCCCTGAGTCAGTACATGTTAGAATCACCTTTGGCAGTGATTACAGCTGTGAGTCTTTTTGGGTAAGTCTCTAAGAGCTTTGCACACCTGGATTGTACAATATTTGCACATTATTCTTTTAAACCCCTAGAATCTAAGCCTCAGGGGGTTATACTAAGCTAACGTATGGAATTGTTTTAAGATGGTCATACCAAGGATCATTTAGCTATTTGATTTAGAATTTTAGGACCCCTTTGGGTATAAACAAAAATATATACAAAAATTATTTGAAATATTGCATTTGTCCTTACTGCTATTAGCCCATAGAAACGCATTGAATAACAGATTCATACATGGAAAATCAGAGTCCCCAAAATAAATCTAAAAGAGGTTTGTTTTGAAGTGTCTGTCCTATATCTGAGTGATAAGACAGATCAGGAAATTATTTATATATTTTTTGACACATATTTAACACCTTTTTTTAGGCACTAAACTACTTCCACATATACGTCCATTACTTTTTTTTAATTGGTACTGGGCTACCTTCAGACGAGACTTGTCGGTGTCCTAGAGCATATTAGTGTGTAGCCCAAACTGTTTGGACGCTACAGACGTTTTCATGAGAAGACCGATTTTCGAGATGTCTCATGGTCTGACAAACACCACTGTAGCTCTACCACCTTTCACTGCAGATGCGGAGGGCCGACATCGGCAGATGCGTTGGATTGAGACGCAGCCCATACAAAAAAAACATCTCTAGCTTAAACAGAGGGAATTCCTTTATTATTATGCTAATTCAATTTCTCCCTAGTCCTTGCCGATGACAAGCATACCCATAACATGATGCAGCCACCACCATGCTTGAAAATATTAAGTGTGGTACTCAGTGACGTTTTGTTGGATTTGCCCCAAACATAATACTTTGTATTCAGGACATAGAAATATATTTTTTTCAATTTTTTTTGCAGAAGGGCACCCATCTATCAATAGGTGCCCTTGTTTGAGAAGCATTGGAAACCTCCCTGGTCTTTGTGGTTGAATCTGTGTTTGAAATTCACAGCTCGACTGAGGGACCTTACAGATAATTGTGTGTGTGGTACAGAGATGGGGTAGTCATTCAAAAATCATGTTAAACACTATTATTGCACACAGAGTGAGTCCATGCAACTTATGTGTCTTGTTAAGCAAATTTTTACTCCTGAACTTATTTAGGCATGCCATAACAAAGGGGTTGAATACTTATTGACCCAAGGCATTTCAGCTTTTCATTTTTAAAATGAATTTGTAAAAATTCAAAATTCCACTCTGGCATGATGGGGTATTGTGTGTAGGCCACTGACACAAAATCTCATGCTGTAACACAACAAATTTGGAAAAGTCAAGGGGTGTGAATACTTTGAGTCGTTAGAGGAGGGCAGTGTGCGTGTGTTATTCTAACTGTGTCTCCCTGTCTCCATGCCTCAGTCGTTAGAGGAGGGCAGTGTACGTGTGTTATTCTAACTGTGTATCCCTGTCTCCATGCCTCAGTCGTTAGAGGAGGGCAGTGTACGTGTGTTATTCTAACTGTGTATCCCTGTCTCCATGCCTCAGTCGTTAGAGGAGGGCAGTGTACGTGTGTTATTCTAACTGTGTATCCCTGTCTCCATGCCTCAGTCGTTAGAGGAGGGCAGTGTACGTGTGTTATTCTAACTGTGTATCCCTGTCTCCATGCCTCAGTCGTTAGAGGAGGGCAGTGTACGTGTGTTATTCTAACTGTGTATCCCTGTCTCCATGCCTCAGTCGTTAGAGGAGGGCAGTGTACGTGTGTTATTCTAACTGTGTATCCCTGTCTCCATGCCTCAGTCGTTAGAGGAGGGCAGTGTACGTGTGTTATTCTAACTGTGTCTCCCTGTCTCCATGCCTCAGTCGTTAGAGGAGGGCAGTGTACGTGTGTTATTCTAACTGTGTATCCCTGTCTCCATGCCTCAGTCGTTAGAGGAGGGCAGTGTACGTGTGTTATTCTAACTGTGTATCCATATCTCAGAGTCGTTAGAGGAGGGCAGTGTTTGTGACGTGTTGGCAGACCCCCCAGGGCCAGAGGAAGATGACGAGGACAGGAGGGAGCTCTTTGAGTTTGAGTTCTCCGACCGACCCCTCCTCCCCTGCTACAACATCCAGGTGTCCCTGTCACAGGGGTGAGTACACACAGACACCCACACACACACACACACACACACACAAATCATTCTGATTGGATAGAAGGAGTGAAAGAGGGAAGGAGGAGTACAGAATAAGAGAGAGTGAGATGAAAGTGACAGATAAGAAACCAAGACCATTTATTCAACTCTTGTGTGTGTGAACACTTGTGGTCCCGTATCTAACCCACACCACCCCCCCTCAGGTCCAGGAACTGGTTGCTCCTTTCAGATGTTCTCCGGAAGCTGCGGATGTCGGCCCGTTCCTTCCGCTCCTCCTTTCCCCACATGAAGGTAGTGACGATGGCCGAGGCAGAGTTTTACCGCCAGGCCTCCCTCTCCCAGCTCTTCTCCTGCCCAGACGAGCTGGAGGGCTTCCAGCCAGACAGCAAGGAGCTGCTGGATCTGGTGGAGGGGAGTGCTGAGCTGGCCTCTCTGCTGGGATCCACCCTGGAGTGCCTGGATGACCGCTGGGACGAACCCCTGGAGGCTAACATTAATGCTAAGGCTAATGTCAATGGGAACATTAGGGCTATGGCTAATGCTAATGCTAAGACTAATAACGCTAAGACTAATGGTAACGCTAATTTTAAAGCTAAGGCTAACGCTAACAGGAGGTTGTGACCCCTAACCCTGAACTTTGACTCTGATTTCTGAAACCCTACTCTACAGTGAGGGTCTACAATGGGTGAATAAGTAAGACCCCTGCCCTGATATCTGAGATTAACTCCTGCTCTGGACCGGTGGGCTGTATGGACGGGCAGACAGACGGACAGACCGAGCAGCAGAGACCTGAATGTGTCTGTCCATCAAGCGAAGATGAAGAGGCAACTGTAAATGAACAATTGTCTTATTTTTTATAAATGTATTAATATAAGTATAAATATATAAATATATCTGGAAATGTTTTCTTGATTTCTCTCCTGCAATTGTGTGAGCGAAAGTGTGGTTGTGTTATCATGATTGGAAGGTTGTGTGTATGTGTGTTAAACAATGCATTATGGGTGTCAGTTTATATGCCATAGTGTGTGTCTGAGCACTGAGGCAGCGCTTTTGAATGTCACATTTTTTGTTGATAGGAAGCACATGATGAGGATCAGTTCTATAGTTTTTTGGTCTCCTCACAGACCAAAACACCCTCAGGGGCTGTTTTGAACCTGTGTTCAATCTGCTTCTCATTTAGTCTCTAATTTCACTTGCAAAACTGCAGAGAGATGTGTGTTTTTGTATAATATTAAAGGTTTAAAGATGAGAAGATATTCGCCCTTCGGTACAGAGTTTGTACATAACAGGGTGGCTATTGTAGGACAGTAACAGTTTTACTGTGTTGTTTTTTTGTAATTAAAATATCTCATTTGTATTTATATTTTGCCAACAAAATGATTCAAAATAAATCTTAACATTTGCAAGAAAGTTTATCTGAATGTTTTGCTTCACATTTTGTTATTACTTTTGAAGGGTTTACATGGACCCAGCTAAGCTTTGGACATAAGGCACATTCTGGCTTTTCTAGAACAAATCTGTCTAGCCTGGACCTACAAAGACCTCAGGACAGTTAGTGCAAATCCAAAGTTGGGCTACTTCAATATTTCATCTGTTCACTTTTACCTACATAGCTACTTGTTTAGCGTAGCTAGGCTGATCTGAGCCACATCCTGAATGCTCAACAATAACGGGGTGGAGGGGAGAAGCAGTAGACTACTCAAGTAAAGAACTCCCTCAAGCCAAATGAGGCCAACAAAGTAAAGAAAACACACAGCATACTGTTTGCTATGGATAATCATACAGCTTTGGGGGGAGGACTGCTGCTACCTCGCTCTCCAACCAAGGTGCTTGAATTGAGGAGCAAACTGAAGTAGAGAGGATATTCAGCAACTCTTGGAGGACAATGGAAGTATATTTAAAAAGCTTGTTTATTGTTAAAAGTGCAAACAACACCGCTTTAACAGATACTGCATTTGTGGGTGTGTCAAATATGCAAAGAAAGTAAATAATTTGACATCAAATGTGATAAAGCTGACCAGATGCAGACTGGGACAAGAATTCGGCCCTGTAATTTTATCCACACCAGCCCACTTCACTGCAGGTGCCGCCAACCCACTCACCCAGTCTGTCTGTGTTAAGCCTTATGCTATAAAAACCAAGCCACTCACCCAGTCTGTCTGTGTTAAGCCTTATGCTATAAAAACCAAGCCACTCACCCAGTCTGTCTGTGTTAAGCCTTATGCTACAAAACCAAGCCACTCACCCAGTCTGTCTGTGTTAAGCCTTATGCTATAAAAACCAAGCCACTCACCCAGTCTGTCTGGTTAAGCCTTATGCTATAAAACCAAGCCACCACCCAGTCTGTCTGTGTTAAGCTTATGCTATAAAAACCAAGCCACTCACCCAGTCTGTCTGTGTTAAGCCTATGCTATAAAAACCAAGCTAACTCACCCAGTCTGTCTGTGTTAAGCCTTATGCTATAAAAACCAAGCCACTCACCCAGTCTGTCTGTGTTAAGCCTTATGCTATAAAAACCAGCCACTCACCCAGTCTGTCTGTGTTAAGCCTTATGCTATAAAAACCAAGCCACTCACCCAGTCTGTCTGTGTTAAGCCTTATGCTATAAAAAACCAAGCCACTCACCCAGTTGTCTGTGTTAAGCCTTATGCTATAAAAACCAAGCCACTCACCCAGTCTGTCTGTGTTAAGCCTTATGCTATAAAAACCAAGCCACTCACCCAGTCTGTCTGTGTTAAGCCTTATGCTATAAAAACCAAGCCACTCACCCAGTCTGTCTGTGTTAAGCCTTATGCTATAAAAACCAAGCCACTCACCCAGTCTGTCTGTTTAAGCCTTATGCTATAAAACCAAGCCACTCACCCAGTCTGTCTGTGTTAAGCCTTATGCTATAAAACCAAGCTAACTCACCCAGTCTGTCTGTGTTAAGCCTTATGCTATAAAAACCAAGCCACTCACCCAGTCTGTCTGTGTTAAGCCTTATGCTATTAAAAACCAAGCCACTCACCCAGTCTGTCTGTGTTAAGCCTTATGCTATTAAAAACCAAGCCACTCACCCAGTCTGTCTGTGTTAAGCCTTATGCTATAAAAACCAAGCCACTCACCCAGTCTGTCTGTGTTAAGCCTTATGCTATAAAAACCAAGCCACTCACCCAGTCTGTCTGTGTTAAGCCTTATGCTATAAAAACCAAGCCACTCACCCAGTCTGTCTGTGTTAAGCCTTATGCTATAAAAACCAACCCACTCACCCAGTCTGTCTGTGTTAAGCCTTATGCTATAAAAACCAAGCTAACTCACCCAGTCTGTCTGTGTTAAGCCTTATGCTATAAAAACCAAGCTAACTCACCCAGTCTGTCTGTGTTAAGCCTATGCTAAAAAAAACCAAGCTAACTCACCCAGTCTGTCTGTGTTTAAGCCTTATGCTATAAAAACCAAGCTAACTCACCCAGTCTGTCTGTGTTAAGCCTTATGCTATAAAAACCAAGCTAACTCACCCAGTCTGTCTGTGTTAAGCCTTATGCTATAAAAACCAAGCTAACAATTTAGGCTATATTGCTAATGTGTGCCTGTCATGTGTTCCCCTGAATCAACACCTACCCTAAATATGAATTACTATTACTGGGCTTTTCCCCTGGTGCCCCTGGTGCCCCTGGTGTCCCTGGTGTCACTGGTGCCACTAACTTTTCCCCTGGTGTCACTGGTGCCCCTGGTGCCCCTGGTGTCACTGGTGCCACTAACTTTTCCCCTGGTGTCACTGGTGCCACTAACTTTTCCCCTGGTGCCACTGGTGCCACTGACTTTTCCCCTGGTGCCCCTGGTGTCACTGGTGCCACTAACTTTTCCCCTGGTGCCACTGGTGCCACTGACTTTTACAGTGGGTGGCACCAGCCCTTGATTTGGTCAGTGAGTAATCATCTTATAAAGTAATTCATAGTGCTTTATTAAGAAGTATCCTAAATAGACTACTGAGGTATTTAAATAATAAGTTGTTTCATCTAACACGTCCAAACAGAAATGCACGATTCAAGATATTTTGATGGGCAACCTAATCCAGTGATTGTCATGAAGTTTGGGTTGACAATTAGCTTATAGTTGCTATTTTACTGTCAACAAAATGCTTATTTGCAGCTTCCTTCTCAACAATGAAACAACAATAAGAAATAAGAAAAGATAAGAATACGAACATAAAGTAAATGGCTCAGAATAAACATTTTAGCATAACTATAATACAGGAAGGCACAATTTATGGTCCAATATTTACACATGTATCAGGGAAGGGGAGGATTGGGGGGCAAGTGTTTAAATTGTGCAGTATTAGCAATAGTAAATAAGATTCTGATATCAGCAGTTGTGATGTGTGTGGGTGTGTGAGTGAGTGCATATGTGCTAAGGTCAGTGCAGGTGGTCAGTCCAGTTCAAGTGTTCAGTAGTCTGATGGCTTGTATATATAAACTGTCTCTGAGCCTGTTAGTATCAGACCTCATGCTCTGATATTGTCTGCCCGACGGTAAGGGAGAGAACAGCTCATGGCTAGGGTGTGTGGGGTCCTTGATGATGCTGTGTGACTTCCTCAGGCACCGTTTCAAGTAGATGTACTGGATGGGTGGAACACGGTCCCAGTGATGTACTGGATGGGTGGGAGCACGGTCCCAGTGATGTCCTGGATGGGTGGGAGCACGGCCCCAGTGATGTACTGGATGGGTGGAACACGGTCCCAGTGATGTACTGGATGGGTGGGAACACGGTCCCAGTGATGTCCTGGATGGGTGGACCACGGCCCCAGTGATGTACTGGATGGGTGGAACACGGTCCCAGTGATGTACTGGATGGGTGGGAACACGGTCCCAGTGATGTACTGGATGGGTGGACCACGGCCCCAGTGATGTCCTGGATGGGTGGAACACGACCCCAGTGATGTACTGGATGGGTGGAACACGACCCCAGTGATGTACTGGATGGGTGGAACACGACCCCAGTGATGTACTGGATGGGTGGAACACGACCCCAGTGATGTACTGGATGGGTGGAACACGGCCCCAGTGATGTACTGGATGGGTGGAACACGGTCCCAGTGATGTACTGGGCAGTCTTCACCACCCACCTTCGGTCGTGGACGGAGCAATTCGCGTACCAGGCCGTGATGCAACCGGTCAAGACAGTCTCGATGGTGCAGCGGTAGTATTAGGAGAGGACCTGGGGTGGCATACCAAATTTCTTCAGCCGCCTTATGGAAGTAAAGGCGCTGTTGCGCCCTCTTGACATGAGTTGTGGTGTTGGTGGTCCATGTCAAAACACATTAACAAGATCGCTAACTTTAAATATAATACCCACTGCAAGTAGCCATGTATTCATCCAACAGTAAATGTAATGTCCTTAAAAAACTTTGCAGTTGTAGGCTACTGCCCATGAGACCTATAGTCTTATGCCCTCGCAATAGCCATTGCACATTTCACGCATGCCGCTCCATATCTCAAAGCAATATCAAATATCTTGGTTGTAAAATTGTTGCTATTGAGCTGAATTTGAGAATTTCAAATTATACCTTCAGAAAGCTGAGGCCCTCTTCTCTTCAACAGGGACAAGGGGACGAAGCTTCCAAAACTGTGTTTTTCCCAGAATTGCATTTTGAAATGTTATTCGATCAGAACACATTTTTCTCTCGAGCGCATGAAGGGAGAGGACAGTGGCTTGCTAATTACAGAAGCAGGCCCCAGCGAGGGCATAGGCCCAGGGGCAGGGGCAGGGGCAGATACTTTAATTACAGGAATCATAAGGATTATGCACTTTTTGACCAAATCATGGTTTTAGCCGCCCAAAAAAGAGGATGTTTTGAGTGAGGTGACAATGTAGAATGTGCTCTTTCTACGTTTATAGGCACACTTTCTTTTTTTTACGATCCATGATCTTGGCTGTTTAACTGATGACAGAGTCGGAGCAGGTCTCTTTGCTGATGCCGCTTTTGACATTGAATGTGAGTTTGAGCCTATCAGAAAACCCGGCCGGTGAATCTTGGTAGGGGGGCCGGCCATTGCCCACTAAACTGCTCATTTAAGATTAGTATAATAGAGAAATTGCGCAAAAATCTTAGAAAATAAATATTTACAGATATTTACAGATATTTACAGGCCCATTGGTCACCTTTTTCATTAATTTATTTTTTATTACAAATATATATTTTGTGTGTGTCAATTTTGACCAGCCCACCCAACTAAAAAAATGGTCCAGCCCATCTGGCATTTGCCAGAGGACCAATCCGTCCCTGAAGCTGACCATAAAATTAAATAAACATTATTGACAACCACAATTTTGCCCTAACATTCACAAATCCTTGAAATTGCTTCCTGAGTAAGCCTTAATGGTCCCTGGTTGGTTAATTTATGATCTTATACCCCCACCGAGTGGATGTACTTGATATTACATGTGAAGAGGAAAATAACAAATATGTTTTGTACTACATTTGATCGAAAAGTCCATGCTTCTGGTATTGATTTCCCTTAACTGAACATGTCAAAGAATGGAAACAATTAACTACATATTTCAATAGCTATACATTCAAAAAAAAATGCTGAAATCAATCAATGACGTTTCTGTCTTTCTGCAGATGACCAATTCATGCCCATCATGCATTGCCACCATCTTCGTGACAGTAGGTACGATGACGCATAAGCGTAAGAATGGCGCTAAATTCAGACCTTCAACTCCTGAGTACATACCTTCGTCTCTTGAATACAAACCAAGTAATCTTACCTTAAGGTCTTCTTGCTCTCTTGAGAATCTCGAAATGGCGTCGGTCAGCAGTGGTGAGCGCGCTGAGGTTGAGCCAGACCAGGATGAAGTGGGTCTAACAGGTGTGATAGAGAATTCCAATGTTTTCCCTGTGAACGCTACCGAAGAAGATTTTTGGAAAGAGTGGATTCCTGCTTTTTTGACGACCCATAGGTTGTGTCTAGCTGGGTAAAGGACAAACTAGGAATGGTTACATCTGTGAAAGTTTCGAGAAATAGAATTGTTTTGATTTTTTGTGTATCCTCATCCAGAAGAAGCAGCGCTTCAAGCGGCTCGGGGCTCAACCTGTGTGCTTTGTTCTCCTAAACAGGGTGCCGCTCAAATGGGTGATCAGTGGGGTAGTGTTCAGTGTAGAGGTGGATCAAATGAAAAAAATGTATATTCCTGGTGTTCCTGACACCCGCCGTTTGGTGAGAGGTAGACCCAGTGGCAATGGCAAGACTGAGAATACCCTGTCTGTATTGTTGAGCTTTGACACAGATGATAAGGACAGGTTAGGTTATATTTGCTATTCTGTTAGGGCCTATGTTCCGAACCCGCTACAGTGCTTTAGGTGCCAAGGATTCAGACATGTTGCAGCAGTGTGTAGAAGGGAGATCCCAAGATGTGAGAAATGTGCAGGAGGGCATAGTCAGAGGGAGTGTACAGTTGGAATAGAGAAAGCACTGTGTGTCAACTGTGGGGGCGCCCATGCAGCTGTGAGAGAGAGACAGGTTGAGATTGCCAGAGTTTGAGTGGGGCAGAAGTGTTCCTATGCTGAGGCAGTGGAGAGAGTAGAGGATAGCCCAAGGGTGAGTGATTCGACTGGGAGCCCCCCAGTGAGTAGGCCTGAAAAGAGAGGTCCAGAGAGGATCAAATAAAAAATAAACATGTTATTTGTCACATACACGTGTTTAGCAGATGTTATTGCGGGTGTAGCGAAATGCTTTGCTTCTAGCTCCGACAGTGCAATAATATCTAACAAGTAATTTCTAACAATTTCACAACATATACCCAATACACACAAATCTAAGTAAGGAATGGAATTAAGAATATATACATATATGGACGAGCAATGACGGAGCGGCATGGACTAAGATACAGTAGAATATTATAGAATACAGTATATACATATGAGATGAGTAATGCAAGATATGTAAACATTATTAAAGTAACTAGTGTTCCATTTTTTAAAGAGGCCAGTGATTTCTATAGGCAGCAGCAGTCTCTAATGTGCTAGTGATGGCTATTTAACATGAGTTTTAGTAAGGTTGGATTTCTTGCATTTATAACCATGGTGATCAACTGCACTGTGCTGTTGGAGAGGAAATCACAGAAGATAGATGTGGTAGTTGCAGCAGCAGAGAAATATTTTGGGGTGATAGATTTTAGTGCTGAAGAGCTACCGGAAGTTTTGAGAGAAGGGGTTCCATCCTCGCTGAGTGCAGATTGCACATTTTGGTCACAAAATGGGAATGGGGGAACGACTTAAATTGCACCACCATCATTTAGGGCCAAAGTAGTGGGATAGTGTATAGGTGCAGGGTTAGATGGTGGTGCAATTTAAGACTTTCCCATTCCCATTTTGTGACCAAAATGTGCAATCCGCACTCAGCGAAAGGCAGCAATACGCAACACAGCGTCTAGTCTGCCGGAAAGCCAGACGAAGAAGATCTTCGTGACAAGCGAGTCAGCTGATTTACGCTAGAGCAAGGGGAATGATGTCGCTGGAAAATCGCCGAAGGATGAATACTTTATTCACCGTAGCGTTTATGTTCTGCTCGGCTTTTACGGCAGGTAAGAAATTGAAGTCTTCTATCTGATAATTTCTAAATCAGTAGCTAAATAATCTCATGCAGGTAACGTTAACGAGTCCTCTGTATCAATGAAAATGGTCAAGCTAACGTTACTGTTAGCTAAGAGGCACTAACAGTTTTAGCTAAAGTAGCTAAAGAAATCCGAATCCGAATTTAAAGAACACTTCCAATCGTGTTGCTAGAAAGATAGTTGCCAATCATTTGTGGCAGGCCATGTCTTTCCCTTATAAACATGTTGATATAACGATTAAATACTGCTTGTTAGTTGGGGCTAATTCCCCTAGCTTGCTAGCAAGCTAACTTGACAGCCTGACCGCCAGGCAGCAACCACCACCGAACTGGAACAACAGAATCATCAGCTAACATGATGAGCCATTTCCCGCAGTTTTACGCCTTTTGTCATTATGAACAACAATATCTAGCAATATGGTTAATTGTAAGCTGTCTTGTTAACCAGACTCGCAGGGAAGCGACTCAGCTAGCCAGCTGTATCATGTGACATACAGCATTCAGTAGTCGGATTCCGTTGCAAAACGTTTGGTGTAATGCAAATAGTTTATTCCAAACGGAAAACGTTTTGCAACGAAAACGAGAGTTTATATTGGACAAATTCAGGTAGGTCCCGTCACGTTTCATTCTGTTTGCTTCCGTTTGGTTCCTAGAGTAAACTGTAAACTGTTTCCTTTGCAAAACGTTTTGCAACTAAATCCGACAAATGAATACACCGCATATTCGCTTGACTTCCTCAAAAATCCTTCAGCTTTCTCAGTTACGAGACTCCGGTTAACTAACTAGCTACTGTAGCCTGGCTTTCCCATTCATGGAATAAGTGTCTTTCGCTGTTTGTAATTAACAGTTAAGTGGGAGCAAATGGCAACACTACACTGTCCGAACCCACCTAGATTAACCTTCATAGTCATATGATGTAAACCTAGGTATGTGGCACGGGTATCCCCTCCACTCACACTGCATGGAACTCCAAACAGTAGTTAGTTTTGATAAGTAGAAGTTGTTTATAGATTATATTAATTGAACTAAACCAATTCCTTCTGTTTTCCCTCAGGCGTTAAGGGGGACAGCCTCACCATATTGCAGGCCCCTGGGTACGTGTCCTTCCAGAAGGGAGACTGGCCGATCTCTGGGGAGAAGATTCCAGATATGGTGGCTCTGACTATGGGCTTCTCTATCCAGGAGGTAGACACACACACACACACACACACACACACACACACACACACTTTAGAGGTAATCACGGGTCCAAAAATGTGAACCTGGACCCGAGGACAATCAGACCTGACCCGAATGGACCGGAGGACAACTCGACCTAGACCTGACCCATATCCTAACGGTATCGACCAGACCCAATTGGACCACAGAATTATGTTTATCAGCCAAGTTGCTCTTCTGGTTAACAAATAGGTATTTTTATTATATTGGCTAGGCCTTCTATAAATCAATAAATGTACCTTATTAGTGTAAAATAAATATGCTATAGGCTATTCAGAGCTGGGGTCAGGTCCACTCAGGTCTATCAGTTGTAGCTGGTAGACTGGACCCGTGAAAACCCACACATGCGCGTATCCTATGTTTGAACAGGTGCACAAGCCTCTGGTGTTGTACATGATACTCTAACATCTGTGTTTGTAGGATCTCTCCTGGCCAGGCCTCCGGGCAGGTCAGTTGTTCCAGCGTCCAAGGGCCAATGTGCTGGTGGTGGTGAGGGGGGTGGACAGCCTGGCCCTTCCCCAGAATGTGGCCTCCTACCCCTTGGAGAACGTGAGTGAGGCCAGGGTCCCCATCAGGGGTGATGGTTGAGGAGCAGCAACGTTTTAATTTTAATGAGATTTTTCACCAAGGCTCTGTTATTAATAACTCCTCCCTTGTTCCCTCTCTCCTCCAGCCGGTACCCTTCACCCTGGACAGTGTGGCTGAGACAGTTCATTCTCTCTTTGCTGAGGACACTCCTGTGGTGCTGCAGCTGGCCCCTAGTGAGGAGGTACTGTATGGACCAGCACATTATTGGACCAGCGCCTACGTATGTGTGTGTTAAGGTGTTTCTTTATACGGCGGTTTTGTATGTGCAGGGGGATGGTAATGTTATCCTGTCTCTGTTTGTGTCTACAGAGGCTGTACATGCTGGGGAAGGCCAACGCGGTGTTTGAGGACCTGCCTGTGACCCTGCAGCAGATCCGTTCTCGTCTCTCCCAGGATGGCTCCGTGCTGGCCTCCCTGCCACTCAACTCCCTCAACCGCAACGCTGAGGTAACATGCATAACTAGTGCTGGTTCTGTCTGCGTTCCTCAGTTAAAGTGAATATGGGTTAGGGTTGGTTGAACTCTGACCTTCATCCTCTCTCCTTATAGGCTGATCTGCTCTTCCTGTCTGAGGTCCAGGTTCTGCATGACATCACTGCCCTGGTAAGACTGAATATGTTGTTTGTTGGGCACAGGGGAATTGGATCATTAACGCTGGTTGTCTGTTGTGGCTAACCCCCTCACCCTCATGTAGCTGCAGAGACACCGGCACCTGGCCAAGGACCACTCCCCTGACCTGTACTCGCTGGAGCTGTCTGGCCTGGAGGAGTTGGGCCGTCGCTACGGACAGGACTCCCCTCAGTATCAAGACGCCACCGCCATCCTGGCCAACGTCCTACAGAAGGTAAGCAGTGTCTCCCCTAGGATTTTTTTCAGCAGAGTTAGCGGAGGCGGGTCTTCCTGGGGCATCTATATTATACTTTATTTTTATTTTTTGTGGGTTTTTAATTGATATCCGTGACCACCTGTTGTTTTTGTCATCTCGCTCTCTCTCTCCATCTTTCTCTATCTCTCGCTCTCTCTCTCCATCTTTCTCGATCTCTCTCGCTCGCTCTCTCTCCATCTTTCTCTCTCTCTCGCTCGCTCTCTCTCTCCATCTTTCTCTATCTCTCTCGCTCGCTCTCTCCATCTTTCTCTATCTCTCTCGCTCGCTCTCTCTCTCCATCTTTCTCTATCTCTCTCGCTCGCTCTCTCTTGCGCTCTCTCCTGTGCTGTAGTTTGGTGAGGACATGTTTGGTCTCTATGGTGACAGTGCGGTGGTCGAGGTTGTCACGGTGAAGAGCTTTGAGGCACCATTGACCAGGAAGTCCCGCTCCATCCTGGAGTCCAAACAGATTGTAAGTTTGTTTATATTAGTTTTATCTTCCCAGATCTTCTGTTTTTATGTTTATGTACATATCTATATATCAGTGAAGGCTGGTGGGAGGAGCTATATGAGGACAGGCTCATTTTAATGACTGGAATGCAATAAATGGAACTGAGTCAAACGTGGTTCCTATATGTTTGATAACGTTCCATTCCAGCCATTGCAATGAGCCTGTCCTCCTATAGCTCCTCCCACCAGCCTCCTCTGCTATATATATTTATGCATCAAACTGTGAGCATTTTTAGATGTGACTGGAATTCTATACTTAATTTGCAACTACTGAAATCCTCTCACTCTATTTCCTCCTTTCCCTTCTCATCCCACAGAGTAACCCTGGCAGTCCCTATAACCTGGCCTATAAGTATAACTTTAATTATGCAGTGATCTTCAACATCGTGCTGTGGCTGATGATCATCCTTGCCCTGGCTGTCATCGTCATCTCATACAATCTGTGGAACATGGACCCAGGATATGACAGCATCATCTACAGGATGACCAATCAGAAGATCAGGTTGGACTGAGGTCCGCCCAGCAACACTCCAGCCCTCCAATTAGCCCTCTCCTAGTGGAAGTTTATTGTTTTTGTGGGTTTTTCTTGTTTTGTGTGAAAAATAAAGATGTGGAGCTGAATGGAGTCTTAGCCCCTACTCTCTAGGTACTTGTTTAGATCTGAGAGAGTTGGATAGGTATAAGCAATATGGTGAAAATAATTCCACCCAGCTTGGTATATAAGCCATGGTCGAACTAATTATAAACCAAAAAGCGTATACCTATCCAAAGCAGTTGTTCAGGTGGAGGTAAAAGTATTATCCAATATGTATGACATGTAGGTGAGTTGCAGTTCATTGTAATGGCACTGGTTAGCTCCTTTTGAGAAAGTGCGCAAAGGTTGACTATACAGTAGCTTTGTAGTTGAATGCTGAATTGTAACACTGTAGAGCTGTTTCTGAGGCCTAGTCCTGTACCTTCTACCCCACGCTTCACATTCCTTATGAGTGTCTCCACAGTAGTTGTCCTACTACCATGGTGATTACAAATGTCCTTTTATTTTTATTGTAAAAATAAAATATTATTGTAATGCTCTGAAAGACAGAATTAAATGGTGTGTGATGTAAATTATTGTATTTTTGCGATATTAAATTTAAGTTAAAGTGAAATGTGTATATATTGAAGTTAGAAATGCAAATATCTTGAATAAACTGCTGTATTGGTATTGTGAGATGGTCTGTCATATTCACTGGCATGTTGCATGAGTTTTTCAGTTGTGTGACATTGACATGAAACAGGAAAATATTATGTAAAATATGGGCAATAAATGAATTCCAATCTTATGTTTGTGTACTTTCTTCAATCAGCAAATTGAATTTAACACGTTTATTAAACCACCATAGTCTACAGAAACCAGTGATATATTGGCACAAATGGCCTTGGACAAATTGTCCCACAGTTAGTTTTATTAAATGTGTCACACAGTCTGACACCGAGTTTATAATAAACACGTTTTCTAATTCAGAGTGATATGACATGTTTACCATCACTAAAAATACTCCTTAATTCAATTATCCAGTACATAAGCAGATCACGAGACGGGGTCAAATGTAACTATTGAGATATATAGAAGTAGCCAATCAGTGAAGCCGCGTAGCTGTCTGCTCCAATAGAGAGACGAGTTCCCGAAACTCCACCTCTAAGATTATCCGCAATACGTAACCGGGGGTGCTTTTTGTAACTTGTTTGGTAACAGCAGAACCACTGTACTACGAAAAGGCATCGTTCAAGCATCAAGACATTCCTCTATCTGGCGACAAAAACATCCCCTTTCTGAGGAGAAAGAAGAACAGACTCTCGCGCCATGGTCTGACTGCTGATCAAAGGTAAGCGTGCCGATATCTTCATTCTAGTTGTTACAAAGTAACAGATGTGAAGTCATGTTACATAGGCTATACATCCATGCCAATGATATAATCTTGTGATGAGTCATTTCAATAATGTTTTGCTAATAACCTGCAGGGATATATTACACTTTTTAAACTGCTGTTTGAGATGCTTCTGGGTGACTTTGTGGGGTGGGGTGGGAAGCATTGCAGTGCTTATCTGTCTCATTCTCTCCCATCTTTCAGCCAGCATCTGGACGGTGAGGAAGATCCGGGCCCACATTGCTGAGAGAGAGCAAGAGGAGAAGGCCATCGTCACACCATGTGGTGTTATTGGTAATAATGCTGACTATGACCAGTAATGCCATAGATATGCAACAATGCTGATTGTTACCAACCTATTTATCTATTTTCCTGGTTGCTAAAATTGTAATAGTTCGCCTAATTTCAGTTTGTGACAAAACAAAAAGTATAGTTTTTAGAGAATCATTGTACCATTCTAAACCACTGAGAAATATATTTCCATAACCAAAAATATGTATTTTCAGCTGGTTTGAAGCTGGTGTATAAAACCGAAAGTACGACTTAAAAACAAAACTTAAGAACGGGAAGTACACAAATAACGCACATAGAAGAGATCTGCCGCTTCTTAGACTTGCGTTCAATGAGTACGGTTACATGCACACAATAATGCAATTATTGTGGAAAGTCAGATTAATTATTTAGATTTAGACTTCATGCCGATTTTTAAGATAAACAGAGTAAGGTGTTTACATGACTATTGCGTAATCTGCCTACTGCCATAATCAGTTTAATATTGAATTATTACTGTGTATGTAAACGTACTAAATGAGAATGACAGATCTATAACTCACATTTTTAAGTGAATTTGGTCACCCAAAAAGTTGCATATTGCAGCTTTAAGAACACTGGAATTACCAAACAATGCCACAGAGCTAACTACCTAACAATGGCATAGAATTGCATAGAACAATACCATCGTTAAAAATACTGGCATTACCGAACAATGCCATAGATATAAGAATTAATAGGAAGGGTGTCTCCATTCAAGTCATTGATGGCATAATGGGTGGACTGGCAGCCATTTTGAGTGTACCCATGCCAGGAAGTAAAATCAGGAAGTTTACCCTTCAATCTGTGCTGTGATTTGTTGAGTCAACTCAACTGACATTACAAAAAATACATTCAATTGCATGAGCCATATCAGTTAGCATCATTTGAATGAACATTCTACATTACCATGGCAATCCAGCATCAGTTGATAAAACATTCCAAAATACCATGGAAATTATTGCATCACAATACTAGGCAGCCATTTCGAGTGTACCCATGAGTTTACCAGTCAATTGCCAGGGTTAGTGCTTCCAAGTCCGTTCTATTCATTTTTATGTCTATGCTTACAACGGCATAGAACACTCTGGCACCACCTAACAATTGAATATGTAAGAACACTGGCACTACCTTACAATGCCATACAGGTGGTGTCCTTGATAGATGCGGTAAAGAGATCAATGGAATTTGACCAAAACAATGGAAACACCACACATGCGTGGGGGAAAGATTCAGAATCTTCTCATTGTCTCCAATTAAAATTAGCCTACATTTATATGTTTATTTCACACAATGTTGGGGTAAAAATCAGATTATATGCTTGAATGGATGTCAACCCCAATACATGTTCATGTCATCACCAATCAACTGCATTACACTTAAAAACGTCTTTAACTACCACCCCCAATTTTATATATGGCTAGCTATGCTACCAGCTTTTATGAACAGGAGTTAGCATTTAGCGTACATTTCAAATCCTGAAAAGGACAACTTCTAAATATTATTGTTAGGTTCTTAACAAAGAGTAATGACTCAACTAGCGAAAAGAGCAAGCCAAGTTTATACATCCCATTGGGTCATACAGCTGCAAAGACAAGTTATGATTAGGGCTGTGGCGGTCATGAAATTTTGTCATCTGGGGATTGTCAAGCAAATTACTGCCGGTCTCATGGTAAGTCTAATAAATCCATGTAATATAGCCTACACCATCACAATACATCCATTATTTATTTTAGACAGGTCTAAAAACATGATATGAAGAAAATGTAGTCTATTTCAGAACAACAGAATAGCATACTCTGAGTTGTCCTTATGTTAGCGACTGATCTGGCTATGCCATATGGCTGTGGGCTACACTAGTTCATTTAGCAGACAAGATTTGCTTAGAATTCTATGGCGTTATTTTATAGTATGAAGAATACAATTGAACATAGCTAAATAGAAAGGATATTTTCTCCAAACGATTTGAGGCTATTCTGTGTTGAGCGGTTAAGAAAGAAATAGGTACTCCTATAGGCTTAATTTAGAGTTATTTATGTAACTTAAGTTGTGATACAAATGTTGGGCTATATGTTTTGATTTTTAATACATTCTAAGGCTGCATGATGTGACTAATGATGATTGGAAAAAAGTAGCATGAAAGTCATGAGCTCTGCTTTGTTTTTTGTGCAGGCTGTACACACTTCATCAGTCTCTCATTCACAATTTGACAAGCAATTTCCCAGCTACATCCGCTTTGTGTGGCCGTAATGCTGCCTAAAAAAATCCATGCCTTTTGCGGCCAGTGGCTGTTGAACCCTTGGGCTGAATATAATAATTATAATTCCCTTCTCCCGGCTGCATACCGAAGCACCTCTCACTCACATGGCTCTTTGTCACGTGATCAGGTCTTTCTCACAGGTCTTTCACACATCGGAGACGCAACTACGCGCATCCTTATCCAATTCCGAGGCGCATATTGAAGATATTGGAAGAACTGTCCACATTTACTTTTCATCAGCCAAGAAGATGAGTAGGCCTAACAAACAGCAAAAGCACTAGCCTATGTCAATCTACTATCCCCCATAGTACAAAAGTTGACCTATTCTGTGCGAGAAATAAATATTCCAAACATAGTCTGGGACAGTTGTGGGATGCGATAGATCCCAAATTAATACAACCACTAGCATTGAAAAAAATGTTTAAGCAATGAGCCTGACGCAACAGATTTCTTCACATTATAAGCGCAGCAATGTGCACACGGCATTTGGCTATAAGCGGTAATGTTCCATTAGCAGGAAAACACCATTCTCAAATTTGACCGCAAATGTGATTATGCATGTAATGCTTTTATTATAAAGGTGCATTTTTATGGTGAAAATTATGTTCCCCTAACATGAAACTCACGCGCTGCATATGTATGCCAGTTAGGCTCTACATCTGTTGTAAAGCGGATTAATGTGCTTCATTTTAAGAAGTTATTTAGCCACTTTAGTTGTGATACAAACCTTATCAAAACATATAGGCCTATGGGCTAGGCTACATGAAGTGTGCGACTATGATTTGAGAAAGTCGAGAAAAAAAAGCATGCACTATTTCTTGCCTTAAGCTGAGCATCATTCACAAGTGATAATATATCATTCACAAGTGATAGGCTAATATTGTCACCCATCAGACTATTCTTGATTTAATCTTGTCTTTACATAATATATGTGTGAAATTTGTTTTGATTTAGAATGGACCATTATCATGCACCTGTCTCAACAGGGGCAGGGGGGAAAAATACATGTTATCTATGCACTTAAATAGCGACTGGAGGACGCTTTTCCCGTTGTTCATTTTTTCATGCCAGCCAGGTAGGCTATACTCCTGTTGTAAAGAGAAGCAGTGTGCTTAATATTAGGAAAGTTGAGAAGTAAATATAGTAGGCCTAGCCTATAGAAAGCTGATGGGATCCTCCTATTTTTTTAATAGAGGCCATCACTCTGTTTTCTCACGCAATTGCATAGCCTATAGAAAATTTGTGCAACATGAGCTCATGGGCTCTCATTAAGTGTTGAGGACTTTTGCATTGATGTCAGAGTGATTAGAGGGACAATAGAGTGCTGAGTACCAGGCAGTTATCAAGTTTGGTAGGCTACTAATGACCATCAGCAGCATCAGAGCTTGGAGAAGCCTAATTACCATGACTAAACGGTCACGTGGAATTTGACTGCCGTCATGACTTGTGACTGCCGGTGTGGCGGTAATACGGTTAACGTAACAGCCCTAGTTATGATTACACAAGTACATGTATTTATAACCTCCTACTAACTTCTTACATACAGTACCAGTCAAAAGTTTGCACACACCTACTCATTTATATTCTTCAAAGTAGCCACCCTTTGCCTTGATGACAGCTTTGCACACTCTTGGCATTCTCTCAACCATCTTCACCTGGAATGCTTTTCCAACAGTCTTGAAGGAGTTCCCACATATGCTGAGCACTTGTTGGCTGCTTTTCCTTCACTCTGGGGTCCGACTCATCCCACACCATCTCAATTGGGTTGAGGTCGGGTGATTGTGGAAGCCAGGTCATCTGATGCAGCACTCCATCACTCTCTTTCTTGGTCAAATAGCCCTTACAC